CAATTAAAGGACACCAGGGAAATGATTGGGCCAAATATTTTTCTTTGCCTTACTATGAAGTGTTCCCACAGAAAACATAAATAACAGGTCATTACCTCAGATAAAAAAAATATAGTTCTGTAACAGGAGGAGAAAGGTTGGGGAGATATTTAGTAGATTTACACAGCTATCTTCACATTAAAAAGCTACTGTTTTGTTTCTAAACAGGATCAGGATAACATTAAGCATAAGCTGTGCCTGCAGCCACAGTAAGTAGCTTTAGTTAGGAGGAATTCTAATACTTAGCTGTACAGAAAACTGTTGGGGGTTAGTTTTGCCAGCATCACTATTGTCTGTCTTGCTTCCATAAACAGCTCTGAAACCAGCTGATCCCCAGAGTCTGAATATTGATCTCAATGTCTTTGTTCTTTGCTTCACAAGCTTTGCCTAATCCTCTACAGGAAAATGTCTTTGTGTTTTAATTACCTGAATGTGTATATGAAGCTTTGAATATTTGCCGAAGATTTGTCTAAAATTCATGTTGCACAATAAGTACAACAGTTTTCCCAAAATGCATTTCACTGGGATGAGAGTTCTTGGAAGAGAGGGTGAGAGCAGAAAAGGAACACATCTAGAGACAGAAAAAATACAGCCTAATCGTATTACAAATAAATTCTGCCTAGTGCCTGCAGAAAGATACTTCAATGGACAATGGTGTACTGTAAGTCATCTTTTTTATGTATACATGTCCTCCTTGGACAAAATGCATCTCTTCAGATTAGAACTGCAAAAAATTTTTCAGTTTTGCAGAAAAAAATATCCCCTTAAAGTATTATTTTCCATGCTGCACTTTTTGAAACTTAATTCCTTATCCTTTCCCCACTCAGGAAAAATTACATCTTGGTCTTATTAATTGAACAAATGTGCAGAATTAGGGAAAAAACCAAAAAAACTTTTATTAACTTATGGTTACAAAATTACTATGCAATTTAATCATTAATTGAAATATACAAATAGTAGGTGTTGTCCAATTGTTTGGCATTTTGGGACAAGTGATTGGGGATTTTGGTGTTAAACTGTCTTTTTAACTATACCTATTTGCCCTCATATCTTCTTTATGGAAATGAATGTAAAATACTTCTCCACAATTATTTTTCCTCTTCCAGCCCCCACTTTTTTCCTAGTTGAAAGAATCACTGAAATAATTTGACTTTTGATGGTAAGTCTGTCAAAAAAGCAGGGTCTGGAGAATGTTGACTTTCTCTGCAGAATATACAGCTTGAACTGCAAAACAGCTTCCTCACCCTTACCTAAAATAGAATTTTCTTTAAAGTAAAGGTGGAACTCAGCCCATCAATTTGATTCATGTCTGAGAGTGTAGGTAACCATCCACTGAAGAGTGGACTGAAATCTGCACCTTTTTTTTAACAGCTTATGAAAGTAACTTCCATCTGATTGATTTTCTAACAGGGAAAGTTTCCATCTCTCGATGCTTCTTCTCTAAATCATCTAGTTACCCCCAATGACTTCCTTTTTAACATCATATAAGTTTAGACTGATTCTCTTTTGCTCTGAACAAGAGCAATTTCTAACACTCTTTTCCCATGACACAAGAAATGATTTCACAAATGACTGGAATACTAGTTTCAACTATTAGGTTGATATGTGCTTCCCAAAAAGTGTTTGATTGAACAAATATTGCTTTTATATTTAATATGTTTATTCAGGCCTCACAACAGAGAAAAAACTGACAGTATAAATGGCAATAGCACTGTCAATTAAATTAAGATACATTATGCCTGGTTTGTCAACATTTATGATTTAAATGTCTTTGGACCTGTGGAAAGAAAAAGCAATATTAGCTAAGCCTGATTTAAATAGGAGAAAAGTCTTGTTGACAAGAAAATAACAAAAACTATTTCTGCTCTGTTCTGCATTACCTCTGCTAAAGTTAGAATAACCCCACAGAAGTCAGTTATACCACTGATGTTTGGAGCTAAGTTAAAATGGGATGTGATCATTAGTTTATAAACATCTTTTGAGGGCATAGCATAGAGAATGGAAAAAAGATTGTACTTTTGTAGTAATATGAGTTCAACAACAGGTATATAAAGACATAATAACATCCATAGGTTTGTTTCAAAGATGCAGAAGCATAATACTCTATTTGCCTACTTGGCACATGTGCAACTGCTGATATGCACAGCAACTTTGAATACACAGAGAATCATAGCTCTGAAAATATGGTCGTGGGGGAGACATTTATTCTTCAGGCACACACAGTTTTAAAGATATGCATAGTGCTTAGTGAAACCAAAAAAGACAGCTTGTACAAGATTGTCTTGGTGATACTAAATTAGGAAAAGGAACCATGACTTTTGCTGAGTAGAAGCACATTTTATTGATGAGTTTTCTTTGCCTCATTGTGAGACACATGTAAAGCAGTGTCTTTTACTGTCTACTGCATTAATATCAGCATCATGCACACAGTTCTATTGTTAATATTGTTGAGATGGCACATGTTTGTGGGTAAGCAATCTGCCTGCTTACAGTGCCATTAGGAAACTGCTGACTCCACCAGTTCACAGGCTTGTTTAAACCTTTCTCTGCTTCTGACCTGCTGAGTATTTGTTATTCAACACTGTATGAGTGATTACCTGTGGCCTCCATTACACAGGCTGTTGGGTTGCTAAGGAATAACTCTCAAGAGGTTAAGAGCCTTGCAGTCACCTTGATCTCAGTGCCAGTGATTATCTGTGCTAATTTTCTGCTTGTTGTTGTACTGCAGCACTGACCATGTCTGTACCTTGACATGCCAAAGTAGGAACAATTATGGCTGTAGATGGAGAGATGTACTGGTTGCTTTCACACTATAATCTCTTCAACATGTTATTACATATGAAACATCATCATTCAATATAAAATTTTTATACCCATTGAGGGGCCAGCAGTCCTTATTCTGTTCTGTAGTAACAGACAGAGCTGAGTTACTACAGAAAAATATAGTCATCCTTCATCCTTACTCTAGCTGGTGCCAGTAAATTATCCTTCACCAGCTTCACGGTCTTCAACTTGTAAAAGTGAATTTGTTTGGTCTTTATGCAAATTAAATAAATGTCAACTCCAGGCAAAAGGTTTCATGTGACAGGGCTTTTAAATTTAATATTATTTCTTCAAATTATCTGTTATCATCTACTTAAAAACACACATTGAATATTAAGTATGTGCTTACTGAAGCTATTAATCTTTCAGCTAAATAAAACCACTAGGAAGCTATGAATAACTAAATAAAATAATAGCTTTATACCTGCTTCTTCTTAGTTCCATACAGACTGAAGTGAAAGACAAAATAAGAGCTGTCATATAGTTCAGAAAAAAAAATTGCTAGTTTTACATTAAGATACCGTGATGCATCTTAAGGTACAGACACATGATCACTATACACAGTCTACTATTATTTAATGATATTTTAGATCCTCTGGCACACACAGCTTTCCTGCTGCTGGGTTCTAGTCTCTCAGGCTTGTTCAATTCAGTGTTTCACATGAAATGTATCTTAGGATTTCTTTTCTCAAATAAATTAAAGAAAGGACCACAGTTGCCTGCAGCTCTCATGATTTTCTACTGCAATATTGTGCAGACAGATAGTACAACTTATTCTATTATTAGCAATTGGGCACTTGCATGTGAAAGAAGTGTGGCAGAGAGAGAAATTGTGCCCTAACCTGCTCTGGTAGAATTCTTGACACATTCTTCAAAGTATGCACTAAAAACCCCACTTGGCTCAATGTTCAAGAGCAGAAATTATCCACAAGCCCATTCCCTGTGAAAAGCTTCTTTGATGTGTAGTTGATCTTTAAGGTCCTTTCCAATCAAAATCACACTATCATTCTATAGTGTCTCTTTATTTTCAGGGAAAGTTTTCTTCTGTGTTTTGTACTTATTACCTCTGTCTTTTCTATCTTTTTCCTTTCTCACTTAAAGCTTCTCCTTCTTTTGTGATACTTTCTTCATGTTTCTTACCTTTACTATTCATCATTGTCCTTCTCAAAAGAGTAAAAGAGCATGTTACTAGGCAGAGTATAAATGTGACTTCCATGTGCAGAGCCATTATTGGCGCATTGGTTTGTTGGTTTGAGGCTTTTTTCTTTTTTCTTTTTTTTTTGTTTTTTGGTGGGGGGTGTATGGGATAGATAAGGCTTCTTTGCTATTTCTTCACCACAAAAGTAGAAAGTTGCAAATGGAATGCAAAACCAGGAATCTGGGATTGACTTTGCTATTGACAGCTCAAAAGTAATTTTCTCATGGATGTCTGTAATTTCACATTTGTTTGTTTCCCTTGATGGTGCCTGTTTTTTCTCAGATTGGTATGTATATACCTTCCTGAACCTGAGAGGAAATGCATCCCTGTAACACTTATTCAGCATTTATTTTTTTAACTTTTTACTTTTTCTCTTTTTTGATGAAAACAATTTGGTGGACTCAAGGACCAGGAAGAAGTCCAATCCTTTTCATGTTTCTCTAAATCGAAGTAACTGTCTTAGCTCACCTTCTCACTCATTTCCCACTCTTTCATGTATTTAACTGTCTTCCGACTCTACTGATGATGCTATGTTAGACCAGAAAAGAAGAGGGTGTTAGTTTTGGAATGCTAACTTCATTTGATCACTCAGAGAATTACACTATAATGATCCTCTAATTACACAGTGAGGAGCTGTCTCACTGTGTTAAATCCCATCTGTGTGTGCTGTCCACTGTTTACACAGTTCTGTGTGCCCCAGACTTCACATTTCCAAATATACATGATAGCTGACAACAGCATTGACAAACATAATGTACATTGTACACAGTATTTGTACTGTGTACAATGTACATTATGTTTGTCAATGTAGAAAAGAAGTGGAAGGACTTTGAAGAAGGGATAGAAATTTGAGAGTAAACCAATATTACCACAGAAGTTTTAATCAGTGTGTATTTTCCTATGAGGCAGTTCATTCTTGTTTTTCTGTGTTTTTCCACAGTGGTTATGTCTTTGATTATGATTACTACAGAGATGATTTCTACAATCGGTATGTGTGCCTATATTTTTGTACATCCTACATAATTTTTCATGTTTGTTCATAATATAATCCCATTGTTTGGTTAAACAGGCCAATTCAGATTTTATCAATTATTCATTGCATTATTTCTATCGTGTATCAGAAGAATATTTTTAATATCAGGCAGAGAAGATCACCACCACCAAATACATGCTTACTAAACAGGTCCTTAGATCTTATCCTTCTCTAAGAGCTTTTGTGGTATTTGCTGTGCTGAACACTTTAATGGTCGTTAAGTAGAGTTCTTCCAGGCTTACTTTCACTGGGATGTATAGTGGCTGCAAAATTCTTCAGTATGATGTTCCTGGCTTTGTATTTTCAACCATGTGTACTAAAAGATACAATGTCTCCTCAAGAATATTCCAAGAACGTTTGGAAGTCCAGAAGAACTTTGAGAGAAGCAAAAGCACAATCTGAACAGTGTGTTCCTGTAGGACAAAAAGAATTTGGATGCCTGAGCAATTGGAGATTCTGGCTTGAGTAGTTGCACACAGCCCAGCTCAGCACTGTGAAAATGTATTTATTCAGATGTAGCAGAATCCCCACAACACAGGAGTAGTAAGAATGATCACAGATAACCCACTTGTTATCCAGCAGTGCAGTGTCTTTGCATTACAGCACCTTGGTTTGGCACAGGACAAGTGAGCCAGAGAGGAACAAAGCATTGCTCCACTAGCCTCGTCTAATCTGAACAGGTTTCTTCTGAATATATTTCACAGGTTTTTTCACAGGTTTCTAATCTGAACACATTTCTTCTGTGTAAAGCAATGGACAGTAACAGGGGACAAAGACACCCAGAAGTTAAGCTAGCATGTGCTGTATACCTTTCTGCTTAGGAACATAGTAGGAAAAATGTAGAAACAATATTTTCATATTTGTTTTCTCCTGATATGGGTTGAATTTGAGCCAATAGTTTTAGTTTTGCATATAAATGACCATGCCCCCTTTGGACAATGCTAGAAATAGTGAGATATATCATAGCCTATGAACATATGAAGTAAAAGCCATCAAAGCAGTTTAATCCTGTTCAGTCCAGCCTTTGCAGTAGGAGTAGCACATGTCCTGTAAAAAGTTAATTTCCATAGGCTTTTATTTATTTTTTCCAAGGTTACAGCTCTGAATTTCATCTGTGGAATTGCATGTTTTTAAACAGAATAGTGTTTCTCATCTATGCCACATGAATATTAAAGGTATATATCTAATTTTTTCCTCAATTCCGTATTTTATGAGTAGCAGAAATTATAAACTGTAATGGTTAATTTTCATTAAAAAAAAAAAAAGCAAAAATTAAAAAAAAACATATTGGACATTAAGCGTTGTTTCTTGGTGTCTCTCTTGATAATTGTATTGTTATGTAAAACCACTGACAGTGAAATGTATCCATAAGTCTATTCAATAGTATTTTTTTTTTTTTTTAATTTAGAAGTCTTTTAGAATTAAGACAGCAGAACTTCTGTGGTAGAAAACCTGCATATGAGGTCAAAAAAGGGTGTCTGGAATGGTTAGTTCTTTAAAATAAAATCTATATGAAGATAGATTGGCAAGATTAGAACTGTAAATTTAGAAAAGTGACTGAAAGAAAAGGCATAGTTGTATGCACACTAGTGATTATTGGGACAAAAAATTGCTTTGAGCATTTCTCTTTATCATTTCTCATATTACAGGCACAAGAAAAACAGGCATGGTGCTTCAAAACTATAAATGGAAGCATTGTTTTTTAAAAGAAAGCAGATTACTGGAATATACAGAACAGGACAAAAAAAAAAAAAAACAAGGCCAAAAAGTTTGCAAAATTTTGCAAACAAAAGTAGGAATAGATTAATAACAGTCATTTAGATAAATGTTCTTTCATATATTTCGAGAAAAAAAAGCATAGTTTCACCTTTTCCTATATTATCTAAACACAAACAATTGAAAGCTAAAAAAATATTACATTCAGACTAATAATCATATTGTGAACTTTTGCATGACAGCTCATAGCATTCAGAAATATTTTTTCCAGTAATATCAAAAAGAAGTTTATGACCAACCTGCAGATCATTTAATATGATAAATGATGACTGGCAATAAACACTAATATTTGTATTAAAAGTAGAAAAAATGTTTTAGTGTCCATCTTCACATACAATTCTTTAGTTATGCTAACAATGGTTAGAAGCTGCTCATTTGTGGGAATATTTGAGGCCATGGATTTCAGTCATTGAGTGTAACAGGATCTCTGTGTCACATTTTGTAGGCAGCTATGGAAAAGGAGGGAGATGGTCACACTGTCTGTAGGATTACAGTACAGACAGAAGTGTGGTTTGATTTAAGTACTAGGTATGTACTTACCAAAAAATGGGTTAGAAGATTTAAATTCAACTCTGTGTTATGTTCATCATACTGTTAGGTGCTGTGGTGAGTGAATTACTGTTTCTTGTGTATGTTTTCAAATGTGTATCTATCTGCCCAGCTGGGTGGCAGTATTCACAACTGCGAAAATTAAGCATGCGGTTATAAATTTCCATAATTACTAGTTGCAAGTAAATTTGAGAACATTTTATGAGGATGTTGCCTATCCATCTGCTTCAGACTCTGAACTGTAAATCTTTGTTTTTGGAACTTTCTTGTCCTGACCTATCATATCCAGAACCCATATAATTTGTGTTCTAAATATATCTGTGGCTTATTAGCTTTTTTACTGCCTTTATTTCTCTGTACACAGGTTAGTTATCTGTTATTGATAACTGTATCTTTAGGATTAGGCTATTCTGTTTGGGAACAAAAGTTCATTTTTGTCATAGAGTACCTTTGGTAAAAAGTCTGAATATCTGCCTGCTACAGTGGTTTTGGTCTGAACATTATTTTTTTCTTAATTAAGCATGCTTAATTTAAAAAAGTGATATTTTAGTATTTCTACACCAATTCATTCTGCAATACAAAGAACATATGCAAAGACTCTTGTTATTTCAGAAACTGCAGGATATTGCTTTATGGTGATGGCTGTCTTCAGGAAAGTTCTTTTGTACTTTCTTTTACATCTTTAAGAACAGCAGATAGAAAACTAGAATTTAAGCCATGCATGTAATAAAGGAGCTGAAATGTCACAACAAAATGTACTGCTATTTGCTGTGAACAATGAAATTATGTGGACCTATGGAAAGCAAGTTATGGATTTTCCATACGGCAAATAGCAGAGTCCTGTAATACATCCTTCATTTGAATTACACACAAAAAATCTGATCTGGTCTGTGCACCAGTGTGTGACTGAAATCTGAATAAGGCACTTAATGTGCATAGGTCCTTGAAATTTAATTTGACTTGATATAAAGTGATTACAGTTTCAAAGGGTAATTTTCTCAGATAACATGCAAATTTAGTTGACAGAGCTCCCATGACATGAAATCACAGAAGGTTTTATGGAGTCCAGCTGACTTAATCTTTTCTAGGTTGTTTGATTACCATGGCCGTGTCCCCCCACCGCCCCGTGCAGTGATTCCACTCAAACGTCCTCGTGTGGCTGTGACAACAACTCGTAGAGGCAAAGGGGTTTTCTCCATGAAGGGAGCATCACGGTCCACTTCAAGTGGGACTTCTTCCTCAGGATCCAAATGTGAGTTGCTCATGTCAGTTGACTATTATTGAAACAATGACTCTAGCAATTCCTGTAAACAGATAGTTTCCACTACATAGACAGATCTATTGCAGTCATTTCCTCGCCTAAATCTCTAGCTTGAAAAACTGGTTTGATTAGCAAAGCTTCCAGCCCCTCCTGCAAGTCAAGGAGCACATTGATGACATTTAAGGAAATTCTTTCAACATTTGACCTGCTCCCTCGGCCTCAGAAAAAGGCTTTTTAAAAATCTCCTCTCAACCTGACTGCTCATTCACCGTGAGATCTCATGAAATGCTGTTGATAAAAAAAAATATAATAATCTTGTTACACACAGACAGAGGCACATTGATTTCTGTGGAGACCTGAGGTTATATGCAAGCTGGTGGGGGTGGACTTGGTGGGGGGCAGGGGAGGTTGGGTTATGTGTATTCTTTTTTACCAGATTTCTTTGAGTGTAGAAAGAGGCAAAGACGTGTTAAAGGAAGTTCAAAACAGGATTGGCAACTTGGGCTTATTTAACCCTTCTTTAGTGAGCTGGCCCTAGAGGAGCTGATGAACAATAGGCATTCCCTCCTGCAAACTCACCAAGCTCCCCACTCCCTAGTATGTCCTGGGAACTTCATCGTCCTCTTCGTGCATCTTTCAGCACCCACCCGTCTTCCCCTGCCCCTTATGTGGAGTGATACTGTCCTTGGAAGCATCACTGGAAGAGGAAGAGAAAGATCAGGTAGGGATCAGATATTAGAAAGAATGAAGCAACTGCAGTAAGTGTTTTGCAGTACTAGAGTGGCCAGCAAAACATCCTGCTGTCTTACCATGAAAAAGGTGAACCCATCAACAGTACATCTTACTGCCAGAGGAGTTAATTATGGCATCTACAAGACGCATTCATATACTCTGAATAACACATTCAAATCTTACATGCAAAAAAACCAAATCTTACATACATCAAACAAAGAAGGATGGACCTCATGAGCCCATTAGGATCCATTCTTGATCCTATTGTATGACCTGAAGATATCAGAGACCTGGAAGGAAAACATGTAATAAGCATGTAAATGCATGTGACTGAAAAAAATGGACATGGGGTAAACGCAGCTAAAGATAATGTTGTGCACTCAGGAACAAAGAGCTCAAGACATTCCTTGGAAAGGATAATGTTTTGACAGAGAGCCTCTGTTGTGTGTACAGTTAAATCACTTCCAAGCCTCCAGGGAGTGAATTGGCTGGATGTCCATTACCACTAACAAGAGCTTTGATGCCTAATACACAGGAAGACATCTAAATTTAGGTGTCACTTTATGAAGCTCACTCAGACCCTAAGAGGATGTCTGGGAGTAGCAATATTTCCTTTGTTCTCTGGAGAATGAACATGAGCCTACACATATTCATACTCACTTTGAAGTAAACCTTTCCTAAATATTTTAAGGAATAAATTATGTTTTCTTTGCATATTTTATAAAAGAAAGGAAGCAGCGCAAGATCACTTTAGGAAACTTTGAACTTAAATTACTTGTTAGTCCTTTTCAGTCCTTGGATCTTTGGGTTTTCACACAGTGAATTAAAGCTGTAGATCTCATTTGTTCATCATTTTCTGTTGTCTTATCTATATGAATACTTAGCAGTATCAGTGCATTCAAATGACTAATGGTCCCAAAGTATGCATTAATAACAATGGGTTTTTTTGATCCATTTGCCATGAAAAGAGAGTTTATTTTCAGATAAGTTTTTATATATTTTTCTCATTGTCCAGACCAAGAATAACTATAAAATTCTTCTAGAGAGCTGAGGATCTTAGTGTTTGTATCCCAACAGATGTCAAGAAAAGCTCTCACCCAGAAACCTGAACTTCTATTGTAGTGAATGAGGCAGAGAATATTAAATTAATATACAGATATTTGTACCTCGGAACTACTGAAAATTTTGCTTTATATCTTCTGCATTTCAAAAAATGCTTTGTAATACTGTGTTAGGACTTAAATAATGCATAGTATAGATTATAGGATTCAACCCTAGTCCAACTGTCCACAGGCACTTGCCACAAGATTTCCAAAACACTGCCTGCAAAATGTGGCAAATATTGCAGAAACTATAAATTATTTAATGGAGGTGCAATCAGGAGTGTCCATATCCAAACAGACAGTGTTATTCTCTAGTGGAGGTACCCTTCAGTGTATTCAGGTGTGATCTGAATTCTAAGTGTCAGTCTTAGAGCTCCAGATGACAAGATCATCCTTGGATCCAGCTCTTTAACTGAAGGGAGAGCTGCAAGATGCGTCACTTAAAACATGGGCTTTTTGACTGTGTTAGGTTTCTATCCTCAATTAGTTACAATGACAATTGGAAAAAAATGCAGATTTTTATTATGATAAAATAAATTGCACAAAAATATTTCTGCAGGTAGCATCTTTAAAAGGAGTCAGAGACCCAGTATACAGATTTTTATGCCTAATTTTCCCATAGAATTACTTCCCTTTTTGTCAATTCCAGTCAACCCATCATAAATGTAGAAACATGATTTTGTTGACTTGGACAAGAATGTAATCAGCTTACTGTAAGACATTCATCAGAGAAGTAGTGGAGCCATTCCCTTAGAACTTCAATTTGGAAAGTAGAGAAGGTATGTTTTGCAACTTCCTTTGCCATTTTCTTGGAAAAGTTAGTTATATTGAATTGTGGGAGAAAGCAATTTAATATTTTGTGGCTCCTTACTCTACACTGCTGATCTGAACCCTTTGAACTAATGCACTGTCAATTCTAATGTTAATTTTTTGTTAGGTAAATAAGGAGAAACATTCAAGAAACATTCAACAAATTCCTCAATAAGGAGAAACATAGTTCATGGGAAGGAAGCTATTTTGAGTTTAATGAATTATAACAGCACAAAACACCTTAATTGCAAGTTTAGAATTAACAATGTCAAAATGGTATTGACTATGCTTGGAAGATTTCACCCCCATATAGCAAAACTCTCATGAAATCACTTCCCTTAAGAGACCTTTGACATGTAAGTAGAAATCTCATAGATATAGCTGTTCACACTCAGATAGGATCCAGAAAATGAACCCATACGTGTCATATTAAAGGTCAGAACACAGGACACCCCCAAGTGAAATCACCAGAATCAAAAGGACTCACTTCAGAAAAGCAGAAGTCCAAAGGCAGAAGTTTATTGTTGCACAAAGGCATTACAAAAAACGTAGTATCAAAAATGCCTTGCTCATTGATGAGCATATCTGCAGAAATAATATCTGCCGGCACAGTAAACTCCTGTTTGATCAGAAAGTGACAATATGTGTTTTAAAATCTGCTTCCAAAACATAAAATGCATTAGGAAGATTTTATTCCTTTCTTAAATCCATCATTTTTCTAGCAACAGTTATCAATATTTTGTTTTCTCTTTAACTCCAAAGACTAGAAGTACATAAATCAGCATTTCCAAATTACAGAAGTAACTCACAAAATTAAACATGTTGGTGGATAAATCACACATAGTAGTTATTCATGTTAATGGTATGAAGCAGTACATTCCAATTGCTATTTAGAGCTGGGAAGAGCTCACTTTTTATTTCAATGTAGAAATTGAAGCACTCAGAGTGTGAACTTTAATTTTACACATCTGAAATCAGGAGGAAAATATTAATCAAATCTTTTATACTCTGTGTGCTTGAAATTAAGGAGTGGACACTTCAGGCTTTAAAATATGTATTGAATAATGTCTTTAAATGAATTTTTGATTCATAGAGTTTATATTTAGCTTCTTCAGCTGATCCATTTTTCAGTGATATCTACAGTAATAAAATATGATAAATTTTTTTTTATTAAACATGAAGGGCTTAGTTAAAAATATATGACATTTCTTCCCAAATAAATCTGAATCATGCTTTGTAGATGATCAATTTGCAGTTACGCAAAAAATATGTTTCACAAAAATCTATAGTTCAACAGTAGCACTTTCATTTTTAAAAATGCAATTGACCTTAATTTATTCCTCTTATAATGCAGTGGATGTGACGGTCTACTTTGGTGTTAGATACTTTAATGAAAGATTCATTCTAGGCTAGAAAGTGTCACTGATTCAAATTTCTTACTCTTGCAAATAGCATCATCATCTAATCCTTTAAGATAAATCTTAAAAATAGTTAGGGTTTGCGTTTTTTCTGTTTCTTGTAATTTCCAGCTTAGTTTGTTTCTCATTTGTTCATATTCTATTTTTTTGTTCCAACACTGTCTTAGCATAAAAGTGTTATTTCTTTTTACCTTTTTTTGTCTTCAACAAACAAGAAAAATGTTTCTGTCACACTAATGGCTTTCCATTTTTATGGTCATCTTCACAGCTGCTCTCCACATGTACCTGCTAGAATTCAGTGGTTTAACCTGTACTCACCAGGTCCTCATCCAGAGACAAAACACTTCTCCATCCTTAGCAATACATCATTTGACATGCCCTAGCACTGCATTTTCCTTCTCATGGTTGCAGATAGTGATATTCTGTTATCAACCCAAGGACAATTCTGTCACTGTCTTCTTCTGCTGATGAGCCTTGGTGCTAAGAGTAGGACTTCTGTTGTTAAGTGTAGAGGTTTTTTCAGTGAAATCTTATCTTTCTTTTTTTCTAACATATCATTCCTTTAAATCACCTTGCCTCTTTTTCCATTCCAGTTTACTCTGAATAAGTGATATCTTTCAATTTCATGTCATCAGCAAATTTCACCTGTTTATTTACATTTTTGCATCAGAGTTGTTGAAGATATTTAGCCATTACTAATTTCATTAATAATTATTCTCCCATTCAATATGTACATTTCTGTTATCTGCTGTCCTTTATTTTATCTGTTAATTGGGAAAAAATTCCCGAAGAGTAAGTTACTTTAATTTCCTATCCTATTGCTCAAAAGCAGATGAACAGATATTTTGGATACATGCAGTTCTGGTGTCATATTTACCAACGGCTTTATTTCTTGCCTGAGATCAACTAAAAAAAATACGTGATGTTTTAAAGAAGAACTTATATAGTCAAAGCAGGACACCTAGAGCACAGAATTTATAATCTTTACATTTTATCTTTGTCATAATACTGCTTTAGAAGCCTGAAGTTCTTGCCAAGTGCTATCACAGACTTACAGAATGGTTGAGTTTGGAAGGGGCCTCTGGAGCTCTTCTGCTCCAGAGGCCCCTTCCTCTGCTGCAAGTGTTCTGCAAAACAAATTTCCCACGACTGTGTCTGATCACACCCATGGAAAGAAAAAATAAAATTCTCATGTTTAGATGAAATTTCACGTGCTTTAATTTATGCCAAAGGTCTTCAGTGGGGTCTACTGAGAAGATTCTGGCTTTGTTTTCTTCATTTCCTGTTGTATCGAGGAGCCCAGATGTGGGCACAGTGCTCCAGATGTGGCCTCACAAGTGCTGGGTAGAGTGGTGTGCTTCGTCTGGCCGGGGCAGACTCAATTTTCTTTTCAGTAGCTACTATGGGGCTGTGTTGTGAATTTTTGTTGGAAACAGTGTTGATGACACCAATGAGCAGGATGGGGATGTGCAAGGAACTGGGAGGGTACACATCTGGGACAGGTGACCCCAGATGGCCAAAGGAATGTTCCAGGCAGTGGTATCATCTTCAACAATAAATTAAGGGCAAGATTGGCCAGGGCTTGTTCAGACCATCTGTCATCTGTTGGTGTCTTAATTTGCATTGCTTTTATTTCTTGGACTTTATTTCTCTGTTGTTTTCCTTTTCATTATTATTATTATTATTACTATCATTAATATCATCATTATATTGTATTTCAATTAATAAACTGTTCTTATCTCAGCCAATGAGTTTTCTGACTTTTACCCTCCTTATTTTCTTCCCCCTATCCTTCTGGACGTTGGAGGGAAGTGAGCGACTGTGTGGTGCTCATTTGCTGGATGCAGTTAAACTGTGACAAGGAAAAGAGCCAGTAACCTGGCTCATGCTCAAGTTATTTTTCATCAGGGTCCTTCATAATTTGTCTTTAGTAGTTGCTGCTTACTGCAGAAATACCCACTACACTATAATTGAGAGTGGAATTTCTCTAGGATAATAATTTTGAAGACTTGTACAATCCTTCACAAGGTAAAACAATAAGCAGTTCAAATAATTACACCATCACAATTTTGGAAACAGAGTGAAAGTTTGGCAGTTGTGCAGACTGGTTGAGATTTTTTTTCTTTTTTCTTTCAGTCCTTTTTAGTGTTAACTTGAAGCAAATGACTCTATTATGATCATGGAATCATAGAACCATTTAGATTGGAAGAGACCTCCAGATTGTCCTGTTCAGCCTTTAACTGCTCACTACCTTGTCAACTAGACCATAGCATTAATGTCAGACAGTGGTTTCTTGAACACCTGCAGGGATGGTGACTCCCTAGGCAGTCATTTCCAATGTTTAACAACCATTTCCATAAAGAAATTACTTCTAACATCCAACCTGAACCTCCCCAGGTGCAGCTTGAGGCTATGTCCTCTTGCCCTATCACTAGTTATCTGGGAGAAGTGGACACCTCCCACCTACTTACAACCTCCTTTCAGTTTGTTGTACACAGTGATAAGGTCTCCAGGCCAAACAACACCAACTCCCTCAAACACTTCTCATATTATGTGCCCCCTAGACTTTTCACCAGCCTCATTGCCTTCATTGCCCTTCTCTGGAGACTCTCCAGCACCTCAGTCTTTCTTCAACTGAGGTGCTTAGACCTGAACACAGCACACAAGGTGTCTCACCAGTGCTCAGTACAGGGGGACAATGACTGCCCTGGGCCTGCTGGCCACACTGTTGCTGATACAGACCAGGATGCCACTGGCCATCTTGGCTACCTAGGCACACACTGGCTCATGTTCGGTCATCTGTTGCCCAGCACCCCCTTCTCCTTTACCACTTTGGTTTGTTCCTGGACTCCTCGTTGTTGTCTTGTTCCTTCTAGTGCCATCTTCTTCCAAGGTTTTTTTTCCAGAAACACCACATGGAAGCCCCTGTGCAGCAGACCTGAGTTGAACAGCAGCGCTACGCATGAGCATGTTTCCATGTCAAACTCAGAAGTGCAAATGTCTTCTGCTTTGCTTAGTAGACTGGAAATAAATTAGGTCCTTGCAGTGTCACTTCTGGGTCTGACCTTTCAGGCCTGGCCAGCCTGCAGTTTGTCAGCCAAGGGAGCATCCATGACACAACAGTTTGGCTGCATGGAATGTATTGCCAACAGGCTTCATAGTGGGTTGCTGCCAGCACTTAGCATTCCTCACCATTTCACTCTGGATTCTGAGCTACCTTGCTACTCCAACATGGACCATCAACTGCCCCTGGGGACTCAGTAACCTTCTAAATATTTAGTTGTCAGACTCTTAACAATTTATTTCAGATCTGTGGGATTGGAGAATGACCCATTATTTCTCTAAGAACATTTTAAACCCTCATTCTACAAATACACAAAATAATTCCATCAAATACCATATAGCATATAAGAGTCTAGCACAAAGGTTAGTTTCATGGTTTTTGTTTTTTTTTTCTTTAAGTCCTTCTGTTCATTCCTTGTGAGATCAGAGGTTTCAGCCTATACAGTGAGATAATGCAATTTCTCCATATAAGCACGATTAAACAAGTGCAATACTGCATATAGCAACCTACGGCTTTTAGCTGACATGTTATATTTTAATGCACATGGCCCAAACTCTAAGATAAAAATCTCTGGTTTCAGCCTCAGTGAATATGTTACAAATTTGGAATAAGGCGAATCACTGAATCAGGCTTGTCTTCACACTTCATCATAAGATTCATTGCCCAATGCACATTACCTGGGACGCCATGATACCAGACATGGCCAATGTCATCAATGAACAGGACTGATGCAGCAAGATGCAGCCAGAAGACCCTTTTGACAGACAGGTTCTTCTTCATAGCAAACACCCTTTTTCCCAGGCTCCCTAGCACAAACAGGGCAAGTGTATTTGCTTGGATCACCTTCTGGGCATAAAACATATGTTCTGATAATGCCAAAATAATGAGGTAATTTATGAGGGCTGCAGCACTGTGTCTTTTGGAGTTAAAACATTTCCAATGCAGTTACTCCTTCTTAGGTTAGACAATGGGAGCACATTAATAAATAAAAATGAAGAGTAAAGCAGTACAGTAAAGATTTTGAAATTTCACTAATAATTTACAATGTGATGCCTCCATTCACATCCTTGAATGTGATCGTAAAATGAAATATCTCCATATATTACCCATAGCTGGTAAAAGTACAAGAAATTGCCAACTGAAACTGAACTGAAAGCTTTGAAGCAACAAAACATGACACCTTTTGCAATGAGTTCTTGGCTGGAACATAACCTTGAATTCCTGGCTGCCCTAGCACTTATATTACCATTCACTCTTGCTGACAAATACATACTGTAAGGGATCTATTTATTTTTGTCAATATTATTACAAAAGAACCCAGCAAAATAACATTGCACGACTGTGATCTGTCTGTCATATTTGAATTATTCTTTCACTATAAGCTGTTTTTGAGTAAAAGTTGCTTGGATTTATGAAGATGTTTTTTGAGATGTTCTTCCTGAAATAGCTATTACTGAGCAGCACACCTTTCATGGACTCTTGCCAATTAGGCTTAGAATCCTGTGGTTTCTAGGATTCTGCATTTTTAACTAACAACATTAATTTTAAAAGCTAAATCTCTGAAAATATTGACAAAAATGAGAGAGTAGACTTTCTACTAGACAGAAAAGAAAAAAAAGAAAGTTTTGCTTGGAGGGGGGGATGTTACCACAAATATAGTTTATTTCATGTTTTGTATTTTGCTCTCTTTCCACAGTGAAATCAGATGAGTTGCAAACAATCAAGAAAGAATTAACTCAAATCAAAACAAAAATTGACTCCTTGCTAGGGAGACTGGAAAAGATTGAAAAACAGCAAAAAGCTGAAGCAGGTAGGTAAAAGCCATTTTTAGTGAAATGAATTAAATTAGAACCTTGTTACCAGTCAAGCAGACAGACCAAAAAGAACTGAAGCATTCTGAAATTTTGGTACTTAATGGAGGCCTGAAACCAGGTAAATCAACTCTCAGGTAAAACTACTGGGAGAATAGATTAATATTCTTCACAGAACATGCATCATCCCTTAAGACTCGTATTTTATGGTGTAGTAGGAAAAAATAATCTTTCTAGTTGTTGTGGAAACAAGACATCACTAAAAAACTGACTGAGAAGAATCAAGCTAGAAGTTTTTGACCATGGGGATGGAGGTGCTAGGCACATTAAGTATTAATAGATGGTGTATATCAAGAATTATTGCCTGGGCAGTAAGCAGTAGGTAATAGGCACAAGCTGAAGCAAGGAAAAAAATTCTTTTTGATATAAAGAAAAGAGATTAAACTAAGCAGTATAGTGAGTTGACCAGAGAGACCATACTGGCTCCATCCTTGGAAACATTCAAAACTCATTGGGCTCAGGACCCATGGACCTGGGCTAAAATTTGAGTTTGTCCCTGATTTGAAGAGGGATTGGACTCGGAGAGCCCAGAGATACTTTCCAGCCTCAGTTATTGAGTGAAGTCCAGGTCTCTTCATAAAACTTGTTACAGCTCTAGTTTTGCCTTTTTCTTAAAATGTTTTGGTTTTAGTCAAACCTTAGGAATGGAAAAATCCAATACTACTTCATAATTTAATCAAGTCAGTGAATTATTCATTTTCTTTGATGAATGACCTCACCTGGCAGCACTTTAAAGTCATCCTGAGAGTAATAAATTTGTATTTTCACCATGGTATATATAAAAAACAAACTCAGTTCTTATGCCTGTCTATGGCATTTTCTTTGCTATTTCCTTATAGATCACATGCATATTTTTACAGGAGCTTTATATTAGTGAGTTGATTTTGTGAGAGTCAGCACAAAATGGATGCTTTATCTCATGAAAAACTCAATTATTTTTTTTTCATCCCTCCATTCTGTGATAAAACCTTTTCCTGAATTTTGTGTGAAATGTGTGAAATAAATTCTGCCTCAGAATCCACAACTGCCTGGGTGTCTGGACAGCAGTTAGTTACATGAAGCCAAAAATCTATCAGGACACATAAAGAGAATTCCATCAAGATTGTCTAAAACATTACTGGGGATTAGCAGTTGAAGGTTACAAACCTGACACAGTCAAAATAGGAATTTAGATATGGATGCGTCCTGTTCCCAAGTAACTTTAAAAAAAATTGTTTGAAAAATAACCTACCTTTTCTTTACAATAATTTTCTAAGTTGACAGACAAGGACCAGTCCTCCAGCTGTTACAGTTTATCTCACAAAGTTAAAGGCTTTTTACAAGTCTAAGGTAAATCATTAGTAGAGAGTGTGATTACTTCTTTCAGATCTGTGCACAATATGTATTCATTAGATTCTATTTTGTACTTTATGCAAGTTGGATGAAAGTTGGTATAATTGGTGAAGACATAATTGCAAAGCATTCCATGGAATCACTTGTGCACTGAAATACTCTTGATTGTGCTACCTTGGGGAGCTTTTATAAAAAATCCATTACTATGCAAAACAATCTACAGATCATTGTACTTTGATATTCAATTTTCACTTTTTCTAAAGGACTGTAGTGGTCTTATTTAAATAGAAATCAGGTCAGAAAGAAAAATGTTGATTTGTATTGAGTCACAGTCTTATGGCTTCTGAAGACATGCAATGAATATCCTCAGATATTAAAAAATGTTTTCAAAATATTGATGCTTTAAAACATCAGGCGCAGAACCCATCCCTCATATTCTTTGCCTCCCATTGGAGGGTGGGAGGAGAAAAACACCTCAAAGATACCAGTAAGAATGGAACCCCATTTAAGTTTCCTGAGCTGATGAAGAGGGTTATGCAGCCTGGATTATTAGCATGCAGACCCAAAAATATTTGTGTAAGCTACATCAGCAGCTGAACTATTTAATTTAGAGTGTCAAGTGGGAGATGATGAGAGGATTTTGTTCCTTCTGTATGGTTTGGCAATATTATTTCTTATTTTCCTCTGCCAGAAGGTGTGGCCTCACTAAGACTGAGATCAGAGAGATGATCTGTTTCTCATTTGCACAAAGCAAAAATCAAGCCATCATCTTGCTCTTTTGGTTTTCTAAGTTTGGCTCACTCTCCTGAAGAATATTTAATTTTTAATCCTAAAAGTTTTTACATCTGGAGGAATGTGATGTTACAGGCTGTACAAGCTCAGTGCATACATTGGTTAATGCTCTACAGTTGCATGAAAACTGTTCTTACAGTAAAAGCTGATGTTCTGGCTTTTTCTATTACCAACCCCTAACCTTTCCAATAGGGGGAATATAGAAAATAGGATTTCCTGTACATAGGAAAGCTGTAGAAATAGCTCCTTTGTTTGCAAAAATCTGAACTGGGAAGCTGGGAATAAGCTGTTCTGACATGCAAAAAAAATATTTAGAGACTATTCTCTAATATTAGAGATTGGGCTATAATTAGGCTCAAAGTTAGGTACTTGAGTTTAAGACAATTAACTAAGTGACCTAATTTTTTAGCAGCTGTATCTTAGAAGGTTTCCCATTTAAATGGATTGTCTATCAATTCAGCAAGCTTGTTTTTAAAAGCCTTAGCCAAAATTGATTCAGTTGTCATTGCCAGAGCTGAGTGATGTCAGAAGCGGCTTAAGACAGGAAGTGGTAGGGCCAGACATAGAAGGCATAGATGATTCAATCCATATTTCCTTATGCATAAGGCAAGTAACACCATCACTTTTAACTAGCATGGCATTGTATGGAGCACCTTACCAACAGAAGATAAGGCTCCATGGGCTGAATCTTCTGCTAATATATATGACTACAGTACTGTCAAAGCAGCTGTCTAAGATGACTTTTGTATTCTTTAAATCTAAGAATCTTTCTGAAGACATTAGTTGACTGAGGGAGGAAAGCTTAATTTTTCTGTTTCTTCACTAAGTGAAGTTGAAAATGAGGGACTAAAGACAAATGAAGACTAAAGAGATGAATGTAAGTGGCAAAATAAATGTGCAAAGTCAAAAGGTAAAACAAATGTCTTGGTTTAAGATTATGGAACAGAAAAATGCCATCAGATTTGAATAGTATGTGTAGCTGGTAATAACTTGTGGTAAATAAATAATAGAGCTTCAAAAATATAGAGCTTCAAGGCAACACTTAATTCATTGGTTGTCCAACAAGATAGGTGTTGAACTACTAGTGTTACAGAGCAGTCAGTCTTACAAAGGAAGAAATATTTTGTTCTAGAAATTCTGTCATTGATCACCCTCAGACTGAAAAGACATTTTTCTAGCTTCATGCAACGAGTTCTCTGGCCTGATTCACTCTGAGTACATAAAGTGTTTCATATAAATTCCTGACATGCATAGAAATAAGACTCCGATCCCTCCAAACATTCTTCTTTCCAGTCAGTCTCTGTCATTCTTCCATCAATCTTCCTCTGGATTTCTGCGGTTTGGATGAAGTTCCTCAGCATATCCAGGAGTTTCCTAATACCTAGTCAAAACAATGTAGCTAGCCTCATGAATTCAACCAGAACAGATTCTTCAGGCCTCCATGGAAATGGCCTTTCTTTTTTACCACTTTGCAGAAAATATAGGAAGCCAATACTTGGTTGATTGGAGGGGGACATTCTCCAGTTACGTCAACACACTATACCAATGAGGAGTAACAGATATTTTACTCCATAAAAACACGTTCACCTGTCTAAAAGTATTTGTTGATTACCTGTATGACTGTTAAAATATATTCACAGCAAATCAATGCAAATTCTTACTCATTTATTGGCAATTAACGGCCTTCTGCTCCTCAGAGCATAGATATTTATGTACTTCTCACTGGCTGCACATGAATAAACTTCTTTGCCAATTGGATTCCAAGGCAAAGTCAAATACAGAAAATCAAAAAGCTGTATCTAGTGGCAAATCAAGACTTCATCCACTGAATGGCATGGATGGGGTAGATGATCATATTAATATTGTGATTTATTTATGCACTAATTTTTGAAAGAAGTTTTCAATCATATTTTCCTGGTAGACATTAACACAGAGAATTTTACAAATCTAGTACATCTGGAGATGGAAGTTTAGGTTTCTTCTCAGAGCACTTTACCAACAATAGGAAAGGTTACTGAATCTCCATAGAGTATGTTTTCCTTACAGAAGCCCAAAAGAAACAAATGGAAGATAATGCTGATTTGATTCAAGAGGAATGCATATCAGAGAATGCAGATAACTCTACGGAAGAGCCAATTGAAGGAGGGCCAGATGCAGATGGGGATGGAGAAGATATGACTGATGGGATAGAGGAGGATTTTGATGAGGATGGCAGCAATGAGCTGGTAAGGAATAATCATAACCTGTCTGTCTATATGGTTCCTACAAGTAACCACAGAGAACCAACAGCCTGGATTAACAAAATAAGCTCAGAGCAGCACTGGGATGTTCTGTAACTAGTGTCTAGACCTATACGCCTCATACTTCTAATATCAATTAAGCATAGGAACTTCTGAGGAAAAAGAAGAAAAATATATTTTACTACTTTTGGTGATTTTAGAAAGGAAATAAAATGTAGTTTAAATCGGTTTACATTTATTATTTTACATATGTAAAAATATAGAGTGCTATTTTTTCCATTTTTTTTTTAAATGCTGCTTTCCAAAATTAAATAAGATTCCAAAATGGAGAACTTTTTCATTATTAAACACTTGCTTTCCACAGTCCCAAGTCTCCATCTTCCATGTGTATACTCTGAAGGCTGTATTGGCAGATACAGATTTTTTTGATGGAAGGATTTCTCCTTAATAAATGTTTGGCTAAGAAATGTTTGGATTTTCAGCCTGAGGCTGCACCTTTCATTAAATAAAAGCATTTCACTTAGCACCATTACAGTCCTAAACTCTTAAGTTCTTCTAGAGCAATATTAAAAAATATTTGGAAAGTGAGATGCATTCCTAATAAGAATGGAACAGTCACAGTGGTTTAGCCTCTGTAATACTCTCCTTTCCTTCCTGGTTTTCTTATTCTGCTTTGAGCTGAAAGAACTTTTCCTGCTCATTGTCATTGCTTGCATTTAAAAAATATTAAATCATGGGTACAGTAAAAACCTTTTAGTGAAGCAGCAGAAGTCAGTTAGTAAGGGACGCAGCAGAATCAACAGCAAGTCTGGAGTAACGGCATGTGAATAACCAGTAGTTTGTACTGCTTACTGCAAATGCAATTTAAACCTATTTGTAATTTTCAGGTTTATGTCCCGTTAGCCAGCCCAAGACTTGAATCTCTAGATCCTGAATAGCTTTATTCCCAGAAGGAGCTACTAAAACCTGTATTCCCTCGCCTTTTTACATGCAATGTAAAACAGATAACATTAAAGAGACAGCTTCTCCTCTTCAGATATGCAGGATGTCTGTAAGAAGCTGTCACCCTGAATTTGTAGGAAGTTGAAATTTTGTAACTAGTAAATACTTGTAAATATAATCTCCCACCATGGCTAATAGCTGACAAGCTGAAGTGATTTTTGCAATAGGGCTGACCAGAGTTTAACAAGAATAGTGAGTTTTGCACTAATTAGGCACCAGACTCCCCATTACAAACAACTAAGTGGGGATGTTAACATACAGTGTATTAGAGACTGATTGTTCAGTGCTGTCATTTCACCCTGTGGATTTGACATACTTAGCATATATCCACACTATATGACACAAAAAGTAGAAGAATTTTTTCATCTATCAAAGGCCTCAACAGGAAAGGGTCTATAAAGCAAGCAGCACAGGCAGAATTCATTAGCAGCGAAAGTCTGGAACTGGCACAGCCGCATTTGCAGACCTCTGCTTCCAAGTTAAAACTCTTTCCAAGATTCATGTTATGGAATCAGCTGAAGTGCAGTGCATTGCAGACACAGATCCAAAGACAGCTCAGAGGTCTGACACACGCATCTAAGGCGGGGTGGGGAACCAGCTCCAGTTTCTCTGCCTGTCACCACTAAGTGCTGGGAGGAGGCAGCTCACTGCCTGTGGAGAGTGGGGTCCTCTGCATTGCATCCTGGCATGAGCAGCATCACCCCCATCCCAACAAGATGGTAGCAAGGAAAGGCCAAGGAAGAGGACTTCAGGACTTCTGTGCATCCTCTCAGTCTGGTGCAGCCTGGTGCAATGCCAGGGCAGTGGAGCCAGTCAGCCTCATGCCTTCCACCTTCCCAGAGGCTGGGACCCTCTAGCTGAGAAGCTGACAGTACTGTAGACTTTAAAGCTTACAACTAAGATTGTCACTGATGTAAACACCCTGTCCCTTTCATCCTCCCTTGCCATTTCCTTCAAGTTTTGGAAGAGGATACTTCACCTTAGTTTTTCTATCTGCTGTGATTTGATAATAACGCTTTCCTCTTTTGCAAAGTCTAGGGAGATTAGTGAATGCAAAGTTGCAATGGATAGGATAAAGGATTGCTCAGCAAAGGATTGCTTCAAAGAAATCTCAGGGTATGGGTGCTTTCCACAGAAAGGCAATTATAAATTGAATTATGTATATTTCCTCTACAGTGTTTACCTAAACAGTCAGCACTGTCAGCCTGTACACATGACATGAAGATGGTAGTTTTTGATGCATATTGTAATTTAGACTGTTTTATACTGACATATATATATGTAGATATACTGGCCAAATCCTATAAGATTTATTTCCTACTCCAATCACTGACAGCTCTGTAAAGGGAAAGACAGTAAGAATACTACCAAATATATAGTGAATACCCCTGTAGAAATACTTGGCAATTCAGTCTGCTTCTACCTATTCTGTGTCCTCTTATCTGAAATTGCCCTCTGTCTTTTGAAAAGTAAAGTAGATATATAAGCTTGTTATAAAGCAAGTCCTAAGAGATGTTGTTATTCTGTTTTATAAAAGCTAAATTATTTAGGAAAGAAAGCTGACTAAGAGCAAATATGTAATTTTGGAATGGAGGCAGATAGAAATCTTTTGAGAAAACAAAAAAAAGGTTAAGAATTTAACATGTTAAATGTGACAACAGTAAGAAAAACTTGCCAAGTAAGAAAAAATGTTACTATTTTGTGTAAAATAGTAACATTGGACTTGGAATTTAAAAAAAATCCTCCAAAAGGCTTTTTTAAGATGAAATCTATAATGTTTTCCAAATATAGAGCTAAAGGAATTTAAGACAATGATTAAGAAAATACTCTCTTTCACCATTAAGACCAGCAGAGGAAAAGAAAGATATTTAAATGGGCAAAGCTAATGCCCTGAAATAATTTCAGCAGGAAAATTTAATTGTGAGTCCACTAGTATGAAAAGTATTAATAGAGGGAAACAGGGAAATTACTTGAATTTAGATCTTAACCTTTAGTGAGTTCTTCAGATTTGTCTGTAAATCTTCTGCCAGGTCATTTCCCAAAACCTGCTGCAGGTTTGCAGAACAGAATTATGTTTTCCTAAGGCTGCCAACAACGGGAGATATTTAAAAAGGTCACACCCACTGCCAGAGTCCTGGTGCTGCCACAATGGAGTCTCTGAATCCGTATATGTGGGTCTCCATCTTTGCAGCAGAGGACTCAAAAATGCATTTCTTTCTTTATTTCTTTATTGCAAAGGAAGTGACTATGCAGGATGTGTGCTGTGGGTTTAGGTGGTAGGATCAGTTCTCTAAATTCACACACTGTCTGTTTGAAGGAACAGGTTACTGCACATTAACTGAGTGATGGCAGCTGTCCTCATGCCTGCTTTCAGCCTAGAATAACTGTAAAGAAAGACACAGTCTGAGTTAAGTCAGGCATGGATTTCAGAACCCTTCAGTTGTCTGCCCGGCTGCACACACAAAATAACACCACGCTCAACAGCTGCACACCTTCTTCCTCCACCATATAGAGCAGGATGTTGTTCAACCTTTCATTGTAATTTTCTGTGACTAAAGACATGTCCACAAACAGTCATTATGGCTCAGCTGAAGTGTGAAGAAGTTTAATGCAGCAGTAACTTGATTGCCCATCTGAACTCCAATTCAAGACATGATGTATTTAAGGCACCTGCTGTAGTGATCAAACACCACCTCTTGAGAAAGTCTCTTTTGTACTGTTTGCCCAAAAGTGTCTCTCAGTAAATGTCTCCAGTGTTTCAGACATTCCAGCTTGAAGGATCTCCTTAGAAAAATTCCCAAAGAACTTTGCTGCATTTTTTTACTGAAAAGTTCTTTAAAAGGTGGTCTCAGAAAAATGATCAATCTATGTATGAATATGTTAAAGAGTTGGCTTCAACTTGCTCAATGAAGTGTGCCAAAAGCATTCATCCACATGCTCTCACAAGGCCTTTCACTCTTGCCTGTACAAGGACATGCATACTTTGTAGTTTTATATATAAATAATAGTCACTTGTTTATTAGGTAGCTCCTGAGTTACTTTACAATTCATGTCAGTTAACTGAATCACTTAACTGACCATCAGAGGTAGTGAGAGGGATTGAAAACTTCAGGTCTATTTCCTTTGCTCCTTTTAGGTAAAAAAAACAAGTAGTTGGTTATCCTGGATTTTATTGGACCCATAATTCAGACTTTCATTCCGTTCCTAACATTGAACTGTTTCTTGTAGCAGTGAACTCAAAATTCCTGTGTTCCTTCCTAGTGCATTCCTTTTAATTTAAACTGTCCCTCAACAGTGTTGTGACAAAGACAACACACCCATCCCATTTTATGGAAAACGGGCTCTCATGAAGAAAGATCTTTATGTTTAGTAAATTTAGTTCACGCACAAATCACAAACAGGTCACAAATTACCCGAACACAAATCTCCAGTGATATCAAGCAGGTTTTGTGTGTCTGCCATGGCTTTAAATTGTAAGTAGTTGGAAGGAAAACAAATAACTTTTTCTTAGCCCTGTGGATGCACAGGGAAACACAAAAAAGTGATCTTTGCAACCCAGTCCAACACGTTACAATATTTGAGAAGCAGCTTGTCCTCAGTCCCTCTATAACAAATCCCTTCTTATTAGAAATAGCATTAATACTGTGAAGCCTGGCTGAAAGATTGAAGGAAGAACATTTCTGAATTAGCATGCTTGGTGGTTCAGTAATGCTGCTGATTTAGCATGTGAACAAGCCAGTGCAGACCCAGAACATTTCATATATCTTCTCTGAACTTGTTTCAAAGGGTGTTAATTGATCATTAAGGAAGCACTGATCATGTCATTGCAACCCCCTTGTAAATAAAGCAGGTAGCTACAGGCTACTTCACTGAAAGCCTGAAGTAGTATAGATTTGGGAAAAAAAAACACAAAACACTTTTAGCCAATGGTTAATAAAATACCAACAAAATAATTAACTGTAATGAATTATACACAAGCATTC